AGAAACGCAGAAAATAGAGAAGAAGAAGAAGAACCGGAAGAACCAGAGAAGAGGAAGAGGGGAGGTAGAAGGCAGCAAACCACAATGATCAATTCAACATTCGACACCCTTCCAAATGCACACATACAACTACATATAGACCCAAAAAGCAACCCTAATGAGACTGGGCTAGCCCACTAATAAACACCCATGACAACAATTCAGAATTATATTTTTTAGTTGTATTGAAATTTAGGAATTCAAATTGAAATTGTGATTTAATTTAAATATGTTAAAAAAAAATATATATATTTATAGTTGGTAACCTGTGAAAGATTTGGGGATTCTTTGGCTTTATGTATTTAACATCTATTCTGATTGAATTGATGCTCAATCATATCTACCCGGATGAAATTGGCTTGATGTTGAAGTTCATCTCAAAACACAACATTAACGTGCTACTTCTGTTTTTACTAGCGTTTTATGTTGATAGCTGGTGGGGACCAACTGTGACTACTGCGATATTTGTTTCTGCGGCAATTACGGATTGGCTTGATGGGTATCTTGCTAGAAAGGTACCATTCTTTGACATTCAAATTGCAAAGAAATGTCTACTGTGGTGCTTCTTTTTCTTTATTTTCCATCTTACATGTTGTATGTGTTCTAGATGAAACTTGGAACTCCATTTGGTTCATTTTTGGATCCAGTGGCTGATAAGGTAATATTATTATTCTTCTAAGCAATATCTTGCATGTAACTTGGAAGTATTAGCTGATGCTCTGGCCCATTGTAAATTAAGATATTGTTGTATTTGTATTTTGAATGGATGCAGCTTATGGTTGCTGCCACCTTGGTCTTGCTATGTACTAAACCTTTGGAAGCCGGAATATTTGGACAAGCACCATGGTTACTGACTGTGCCTGCAATTGCCGTAATCAGTAGAGAGGCAAGTATCTATCATTATGCGTCTCTTATAGATCATAAATAAGCTAGGCACTTGTGTTGAGAATTACAAAGCCTAATTTTGTTCCACCGGGAGTAATCAATTTGAAGAAAAAAAACAAATGCTCAAGAACACTCAAGATTTATAGAGGTTCTCCTCAATGTAAGATTGTGTTCTCTTCCGTCATTGCAGTGATTTACTTTGATGAAAAAAGGTTTACACGAGAAAATTGCACTTTTATTTTCTCTAGCCTCTCTCTCTCTCTCTTTTTTTGATGATGATAAAAAAGCCTAAGAACGANTTTTTGTTTTTTAATTTTAAAAACTTTTTTTAAATAATAAGTTTTTTGTTTTATTTTATTTTTTTAAATAATTTTTTTTTTTTAAAAAAGATTTTATTTTATTTTTTTAAGTAACGTTTTTCTAAATAAGTTTTTATTTTATATTACTATTCTAAGTTAAGGTTTGTTTGTTTGTTTGTTTTTTTTTTTTTAAGCGAAGTTACTGTTTTAATCCTCTTAAAATTAGTGAAAAGGATGAAAGAAGTTGGGTGGCCATAGTGAAATGTTATATCAAATTGGGTGGCCATGGTGAAATACAATTAATTTGAGTGGTCATTGTGACATTAAGTATAAATTTGGGTGGTCATAGTGAAACAAAATCAAATTGGTGGATTTAACCCAATTGTAATATTATTTGTTTAACTTACAGTGATATATATCTTAGCATTTTGTAGTTTGATTCATGCAACAAAGATTATGTATGTAACCAATATCTCCCTTTAGGACAAAAAAAGGATTATCCATCTATTTTTGTTACTGTTAAAAAGGAATCATAGTAAACTCATTCTTTCTTAATTATTTGATGAATCAAAGATTATGTATGTAACCAATATCTCCCTTTAGGACAAAAAAAGGATTATCCATCTATTTTTGTTACTGTTAAAAAGGAATCATAGTAAACTCATTCTTTCTTAATTATTTGATCATTAGACATTCTTGGTCCAACTGTTATCATACTCTTTGAATTATTTCCATGTTTGGGCACTGATTAGTCTTGGTGGTCTTATTTATGACTTTTGTTTTAGGTTCCTCTTGCCCCCGATTTAATTAAGCTTGTGGATAGGTAGATTTGAAATGCTGAGAGGCCATTTCTGTATGAATAAATATATGCGTAAATCCATCTTTTGATTTTCAGTTTGAAATACAATGTTGGAATATTTTGTGGATTTCTCCTATTAACCTGTTGGTCTACCTTAATATTCACTGACATGCAATTTTATGATCTCTTTCAAAATATTTTTCTATTTTGTCATTGCATATTTTGTTTTAATTGGTTTAACCTGCCTTCTACTAACCGAAGTGCCTTTAACATGTAGATTACCATGTCTGCAGTCAGGGAATGGGCTGCTTCTCAGGACAAAAAGCTTTTAGAGGTTTAGATTCCAACCCTGTAATTATAATACAATTATAGTTGTTAAATGGTCAATTCCTACTTTTTGTTTTTGCTAATTCGATGAAGTTTTTTATTTTTTTTCAGGCTGTTGCAGTAAATAATTTGGGGAAGTGGAAAACAGCCACTCAGATGACCGCATTAACCATCATTCTAGCTGCCAGAGATAACAGGTTAATTTTCTTCTTTTTTATGAGATTTTATTACTGATAAGTTTGATGGAAAGCTAGTTGAATTTAGAAGTTTTGTTAGATTCATCCTCTGATGCAACTGTTCTGTCCTCTCTTTTCTCTACACGTGCAGTCTTGAAGGGACGGAATCTCTTGTAGCTTTTGGGGTCATTTTACTATATATTTCAGCATGGCTCGCTGTATGGTCATTGTACGTATATATTAGAAAGATATGGAAAGTATTGCTTAGATAGCCATCTCGACCTTCATCTATATTCTTACCACACGAAGTTAAGAAATTGTCCATGGAACACATTTCTGCTGGTCAAGCAGAGTTTCTTCATCGACATTGCTGCCTTATTGGATCTTCTGCGGTGTCTTCTGTTACATTAACTGTCAACATATTGGGCTATTTTCTGCTGCAACTTAATCGGCCAAACGAGATT